CCAACCACCTAACTTCAGGGCCTTGGCGAGACGAACACCGCTCCTTGACAGCCTCTGGAGCTTGTTCTGAATCTTTGAAAGGCTGTGCCCCTCGCCAGGAGACTCCGTTCCTCTACGCATCCCCACCCCAGATTTCAGACCACTGCACTCCACTCTTCTAAAGACTCTTGACATCCTTGTCTGCTCCATGTTTCCAAGTAGTAATTCTGCTGGACTTTTAAGAAAGGAAGACAGATGAAGGTGAGGCTGGTCTTACTGGATGAACAGGCGATCCCAGGAGTGCTATTTTCCACCATTAGCCCTGACACTAGAAAAGCCATATGCTAATGAATGGGAATGGCTTCATAAATGATTTTAATGTATCAGTTAAAAAATTAAAAGTTGGAGCGAGGTGGCAGTGGTGCAGGCTTTTAATCCCAGCACTCGGGAGTTAGAGGCATGTGGTGGATTTCTGTGAGTTCAAGGCCAGTCCTGTTCCAGGACAGCCAGGACGATTAGACAGAGAAACCCTGTCTTGAAAAACAACAACAAATATTTAAAATTGGAGGAGAAGGTAACTGCCAGGGACAATCAAACCATACTCTGCTGAACCTGTCTTAGTGTTTTTATTGCTGTGATAAATACTATGGCCAAAAGCAATGTGAGGAGAAAAGGGGTAATTTTATCTTATGTGTTTAGGTAACATTCCATCACTGAGGGGCATCAGGGCAGGAACCTGAAGGCAGGAACTGAAGCAGAGACCATAGAGGGAGCTGCTTACTGGCTTGCTATGTTGGCTTCCTTATATACCATCCTGGGCCACCTGCTGAGGACGGAATCACCCACAGTGGGCTACCCCTCCCAATAAATCATTCAGACAATAAATATCTCACAGTCTCCCCCACGGGGCAATCTTATGATGACAATTCCTCCACTGAGTTTCCCTCTTCTCATATATTTTTATGTTTGTGTCAAGTTGACAAAAGCCAACCGGCGCATCTTCTGTGCCTACCCTTCTGGGCTATAGAAGCACGAGCAAATAATGGCTGCTAAGCTTGTGGTTATCTATGATACAACAATAGAAAACTGACACACAGACCAAGGGTTCCTGAGTCTGCTAAATCAATGGATGTCTACAGAAAGCCTTTGTTTAAATGGTTGCAATTAACTGAGTATCAACTGACTCATCAAACTCTCTGCCAAATGGCCAGAGTCTCTGCAGATGGCCAGTATGAACTTCTGACACATGCAATGAGAAACCAAAGCACTCTCTGCCAAAGCAGGGCCTCTTTCTCCTGTGAGTATGTCGGCTCCACCCCTGATGTCCTTGTGTGCTTACTGTGGGAAGGCACTGGAAGAAGAGGCAGTGCTGGAAAAGGACACAGGCTCTGAGTTTCATTATATGAAAGACCGTATTCAACTATGCAATTTCCTATAAAACATGTTTGGGGCCAGAGAGATGGCTCAGTGTTTAAGAACACAAGCTGCTCTTCCAGAAGACCCAGGTTCGAGTCCTAGCACCCACACGGTAGGTCATACATAACTTTAACTCCAGTTCCAGGGGATATAACACCCTTTTCTGGCCTCTGCAGGCACTGAACACATGTGGTACATATTCATACATTCAGGCAAAATGCTCATACACATAAAATAAAATGTACAGTTAAAAAAACATCAAAAGTAAACAATTGAGAAAGAGCTTTCACATTCTGTGAGAAATTTTCACATTTTTTGTCACACTGATATACACACACAGAACCTCTAAGATCAACCAGGACAAGGACAGACCCCCCCCCCCCAGAGATGCAGTATCCTTACTTTTTTAAAAAAATTGTGTGTGTCTGTATCCATGGTGCACACGTGTGCATGTTCCTCTCTGTGTGGAGGCCAGGGGTTGACATCAGATGTTTTCCTCTACCTTTCAAGTCAAGTCTTTCACTAAACCTGGGCCTCACCACTTTGGCTAGATTGGCTGGAAGCAAGTCCTAGGGAATCCTGTCTTTCCTCAGCAATAAGATAGCAGCATGTCACACCTTGCTCAGATTTTGTTTTGTTTTTTCAAGACAGGCTTTTACTGTGTAGCACTGGTTGGCACTGGCTGTCCTGGAACTCCCTCAGTAGACCAGGCTGGTCTCAAACTCAGAGATCTGCCTGCCTCTGCCTCCCAAGTGGTGGGATTAAAAGTGTGTGCATCACCACTGACCAGCTGTAGCCCATATTTTTATGTAGGTGTTGGGGATCCAAATTTAAGTCCTCATGTTTGAATGGTGAGCATTTTATCAACGGGGTGATCTTCCCAAATACTTGTTTTTTTACTGTTCCTATAATAGAACCCTGGAGTCTAGCTAATTTAGAAAGGGAAGGGGTTAATTTCAGTTTGTGGTTCTGGAATTCTCGGTGCTGTTTAGTCAGCTTCTGGAGCTCCACGGGCTGCACTGTGTCACGGTGGAAAGGCATAGAGGGGAGGCAGGTGCACATGGAATTTGTGCATCAATAAGACAGGAAGCATGAGAAAACCAAGGAAGCCAAACTTACTTTATAACAATCTGGTCTTAGGATAACTCGACACTCTGAGAGAACTGCATTAATTAATGCCTTTGTGAACCGAAGTGCCTCTTGGAAAGCCCCACCACCTTTCAACACATTTATATTAGGGATTAAGCCTCAAACACAGTGTGTAAGCAAAGAATATAAATCGGTACAGAGATACTCACCCATCACTCATTAGCAATGAGCAAGCCACACCATAATGCATATGGCTGTAGCCCTGGACAAGGTCCCCCACTGACTCCTACTGCCCACTATTGATGCTCTTATACAACCCCTCCCACTGCACTGGGGACTGAATCTAGTGACCTGCTTGCAACCAAGAACAGCTAAGCTTCTACGATCAGGTGACCCAGATGATCTTGCCACCATGTGCACGCCTTTTGCAGACTGCACATTAAAAAAAAAAAGTCATGTTTTTTTTTAGCATGTTTCCATCTAGCATACACACACACACACACACACACACACACACACACACACACACACACACACACACACACACACACACACACACGCAAGCACGCACGCGAAGTTGTGTTTGTAGGTGCTTGAAGGCCAGAGTGGGTGTCCTTCTCTATTACTCTTGGCTTTATTCCTTTGAGTCAGGGTCTGTTATTGAACCTGCACGCTTGCTATGTTGGCTAGGATAGCTGGCCAGTGAGCTCCCAGGATCTGTCTCCATTCCCCAGGTCTAGGGTTATCTGGGTTGTAAGTGCACTGCAGCCATGTCTGGCTTCTACTGGTCTTCATTCTCGTCCACGGAGCTGTCTCCCCCTCCCCTGGCAGACTGTTAAAGATGAGAAAGGCTGGCAAAGATCTGCCCACAAGTGTTGGGTAATGGGTCTCTTCTACTGTTTTCCCTGCACTAGGAAGGAGATCTGGTAACAGACACATGCAGTCCTTGGATCGTGCAGTTCTACTTTCGGTAATATACTCACTGACTGCCTCAGTGGGACATGGCTTCAAACGTTCACTCATGGCAGCATTTGGTAGTGATGCCACATTAAGTTGTGGCAATGGGCTGAACTATGCCCCCACCACACACGTGCATATATGTAAGTGTTGGTCTTCCACACCCCAGGATGTGACCATTTCTGGAGACAAGGCCTTTAAAGGGGAAAGTGGAAATGAGGTAATTAACACAGACCTAATCCAATATGGCTGGCCCCCTAAGAAGAGACAGAGACACAGGTACAAGGGAGGCCTCTGAGGGAAACCACCTTGAGATGCCTTGACATTGGGGAGCCAGTCTCTGCAATGAAAACAAATTAGCTTTATGTTCCTCACTCCCTCAGGGAATAACAAGAGACGGGAAGTGGTCCAGTGAATCTGGGTGTATCTGTAAGGTGGGGCCAAAGTTCCATGACCCCAGCCACTATCCTGCTGTGTTTTAACTTGGGTTAAGCTAAAAGAACCTCACCTAATACATAGAAAAGATGGCTTCCTGTCAGCCTCAGTTGCCCACTCCTCAGGTTTCCCTGCCCCCAGGCAGCTGTCTCTCACCTGGAAATAGTTCAGAAGCAAGCCAGCCCAGGATAGCCCCAGGCCTGCGAGCAGGAAGGGTATTAGCACCTGAAGGCCAATGATCAGGGCACCCTCCCTGCTGCTCTCAGCCTCCAGTGATTTGGGGTCCACACTTTGGCTCTCAGAGACCTCCTGATGTCCATCTTCGGAAGCCTCTGGGAGTCTTCCTGTACGGTGGTTGGGTGATGGCCCCAGCTCCTTTGGCCTGCCACAGCCTTCCAGCCTCCGCTGTCGGGCCTCTGTCCCTTCCATCGGCACACGGCTGAGCCCAGCAGCCCTGACCTGGGAGACACAAAGTGACAGGACTGAAGGGTAGAACTCCTGACTCCTCAGGACCCCTGAGACTCCATCCATTCACCTGGCTGCCAGCATTCAAAACTAGCCTTCAGAGTCCCACACCATTACTCTCTGTAGCTTAATGTTATATGAACAGGCCTGAGGATGATACACAGCTATTGAAGGACTGTTAACTGTAAATAGGAGCCAACAAAGAGTGACACACCCTACCAACCAACCAATCAACAATCTGGCCAGGTACTGATTAGGAGCAGTACACTCATCTATCCTCAATACCACCACCCAACATGAATGAATGAATGAATTTGAATGAATGAATGAATGAAGAGCAGCAGAAAGTATAGTCAGAATCACCCTTGTCAGAACTCTGGGAATTAAGTCAAGGCTTGCAGCAACTATCAAGAACACTGTGACCTTCATCATATTAGTGACAGTCTCATTGTCTTTAGTCTGGGAGATGGCTGGCTGGGAGGGTTAATTCTGTCTGCCAATGTGATTAGATTAAGAAGTGCCCAGGGAATTGCTGAGGCAAGCCTTGCAGAGATGATCAAGCCTTTCTGTGGGCTGGGGTCTAAGAATGAATAAAAAGAGAGAAAGGTGCTTCTTGGACAGGCTCCTGCCTGTGTGCCAGCATGCCATCCCACCACAATGGGCTGTACTCTCAAACCTGAGGGAAAAAATACCCCCTAAGGTTCTTCTGACTGGTATTTGCTAGAACAATGAGAAAATAAACTAACACCTTGGTGAGAACCAGCAACCTGTGGTTCTTTGGCTATCCAGAAGAACTCTGGTCCTCACACCCATATGAGGTTCGGGGGACACTCCTCTGCAGACTGCCTGGAGACCCCTGGTGCTGAAAACCTTTGAAACAGTAACAAGTACTTCCTAGATGCTTTTAGACTGATAAAAAGGATCAAAAAGGAAAAGCTTGGGAATGAGGTGTCCACGGCAGGAGGAGACTACATTCCAAGACCAAAAATTCAATAGAGCACACATCCAGTGCTGGACATAAGTTCAAAAAATGGCTGACCAGGCAAAGGGTGAATGCTTAGGGGGGGATGCTAAGGGCTCTAGAATGGGAAGGGTCCCAGGGTGCCCAGATTATCCCTCAGTGAGGGCTGTAGGCTGGGTGGTAAGTCATAATGGATCTCTTGGCAACAGAGACATGCACAACACAGAATGGTGTTCAATTAAGCTACTAGACAGCAAGTGGCCACAGTGAGTCCTCTTAGTAGGAGAGATCTCAGTCCTAGAGATGGCTCACTCTTTCAACAACAAACGAGACACAGACACAAATTCACTTCAACAAATATGAGCCACAGAAACAAGAAAGCATGTCTCCAAAAGGAAAAAGTAGTTAACAGAAAGTGTCCCCAAGGAGGATCAGTCTCTGGCCTGGAGAAAATGTCAAAGTGGTTTTGTTAGTATGTTCAAAGAACTCGAGGAACCCTTAGCCCAAACTGACAAAATTGGTGGCAGGTGTGCACAACCTTGAAGCTAATCCCTTCAGTTAGAGAACACAAGTCCAGGGCCACAGGGTACAGTTGCATGCTTCCAAGGGCAGGCCACAGTGCTGTGAAGATAGGCAGTGGCAAGGCAAGGGTGGAGGAGTGGGCAGGCCTGTCACATGGGGCCTCACATGGGCACTGGAGGCTCTATAGGAGGGAGAAGGGAATCAGGGCCAGCCAGTGACCCCAGCAAGTCCTTCTGGGACAAGATTTGTTCAGTACCCCAGAACACTGAGAAACAACGAACCACCATTGCAGAACGTGTTGGCCGTTACAAGATAATGGCCAAGCTACAATTCCAAAATAGTCCATCCAACCTTCACTAAGAGACAGGGCTGAGAGAAGAAGACTGCCTGTGTGGGACAAAAAATGTCCTCTGCCATGTGCTCAGAGGACAGCCAGGTTCATAGCATCAAAGGACTAAAAACCTTAATGTAAACAAAACAAACTTTAAAAGTAGTTCAAAGAGTAGGCCTTCTCCCAAGATTCTGGGAGGGACAATGAGTCCCATAACTTGAGTCCCAAGAAAAAAAAAATCAAGATGATAGATGACCACAGGACCATGGGAAAGCAAGGCACTTTCAGTATACAAGTGGAGTGGCTAAAGTGAAGGAACATTAGACCATCTCCATCCTGCAGCAACAGTGTGAGCATTAAACAGTAGCAAACACGATGCAAATGAGATTCGAGTAGCCCAGGCTGGCCTCAAACTAGATGGGTAGCCAAGGAAGATCTTGAACTTTCTGGTCTTCCTGCCTCCTCTGGAGTGATGAAATTACAGGCATGCACCACCATGTTCATGTGGCACAGGGGACTGAATCCAGAGTTTCACACATGCCAGGAAAGTAGTGTGCCAGCTAAGCCACATCTGAGGATATGTAAGCATATCCCATATATAAGCAGGAGCCAGTGAAGGGGTCCACACATGCTGGAAAAATAGGAACTGGACAGAAAGGCTGAAGCAGCCTAGTGCCATAGGATCACCAGGCAGAAGCAGAAGGACACACAGCTGCTGAGCAAGTGTGGCCTGGAG